GGATGCTGAGCATTTCTTTGACACGCGTCTGTGTGTCAACTTTGACTAAAACTAACAAATCAAATGACACAGAATTTAAAACTAACACATTCTGGTCAAAGGAGTGAAATGAAACTTCAAAAAGTTAAACAAGTCTTGAGAGGATTTAGGTGACTCCTGTGACAGCCAATCAGCAGAGGATATGATGAAGTTGACACACAGATGGCCCCCGGTCCTTGTTACTCTGCACCGGCTGATTGTTACTGACAAACTGTGTCTCGCTGCAGTGCTGTGACGTTCACGGCGAGTCACTGAAATATCAAAGAGTTGCAAGCACAGAGAAGGAAAAAACCTCTGTGCACCTGAGGGGGAATAAAATCCTCCACCGAGTACTCCGTGTGGCCTTTTGTGTCAAACATCGTACTGCAGAGCTGATTTTCTACTTCTTTCTGTGTTTGCAGTGAGAAGGTTGAATGCACTCAGAGTTTAATTTGTGCTCATGAGGATTTTAAAAAGGGAATGGTGAAGGTCGGTGTGCTGCTCTCCTGTTTAAAGGAGCATCAGAAAGCCAGCAAGTCTGATGGGTGTGACCTCTGCCCTACACAGAGAAGCTCTTTGAAGAAACGCCGCTGACATTTTTTGCGTGTTTGTGTCGAGCTGGGCTGTGACCTGTGTAAAATGCATTTGACTGACATGATTGACCTTTTTCCATGTGTCTCTAACAATCGCTGAGCATCAGACTGACAAGGTCAGGTTCCTCTCATGATGGCGTACGCTCCATGCATCTGCTGGTATTATAATCCTAAATCCATTCTTTGGAGTCTCCGCCCATCACTCATTCTGTTTTCCATCCGTTTCATCGTTGCTTTTCATATGCAAGTCCCAATGGGAGTCAAACTGTCAAGTCCATCGAGCTTGAGTACATTTTTACACCAGAGTAAACAATCGAGGGGCAAAACTGCTGGATTTACTGTTTTTACTGCGAGGATCTCTCATGTTTGCTTCTAAGCATTTCCGTGTCCTGCCTGACAAACAAAAAGCAGCATGAATTCATCTTGTCATTGTCAATCCAGTGTTAGCATCTTACCATTTTTAGCATTAGCAGGTGGTTTAGTAGGTTCAACTATTTGTGAGGACAAAGACAAGTAAGCCCATTTAATTTATGCTGCTCAGATGCGTTTGTGGAAAGAGTTTTATTTTTCACTGCGATGACTCAGTTGGCAGTTTCTGGTCAGATGTGGCTGAATTATCATCTGGTTTTCATTGTATATCCTGCCATTAGGTCTCATTATTACTAATTATAAACCATTTCTAGTCATCCGTATGCTGACGACAATCAACTGTGCCTCTGCTTTTAACTGACTTAATGCAGTGAATGATTGGACGGTAAATATTTTCATGCAGTTTAACACAAATAAGACTGAGTCTTTAATTATCATTCTGGAGCTCTTTCTCATCCACTGTTCAAGCTAGCACACGTAACTCTTTAACTGTTGATGCTCATAACAAGTTTCTGACTCGCGCTTACTTTTTCTATTTAAGACATATTCCTAAACTTAATACTGTTGTCTCAAAAAGTGAACTGGACATTCTTGTTCTTGGCTTAATCTCCTCCAGCTTCAACTACTGTAATGGTCTATTTTGTTGTCTGTATAATGCATCTATTAATTGCCTCCCATCTGTACAAAATGCTTTCAACATACTCTGCTACATACAAGTGTCTGAAGAGGATTCCAGTCAGGTCTAGGTATCATTTTAAAATCTTAGTTCTTTCTTTTATGAACTTACGAGACAAAGCCCGCACTTATATCATTGATAACCACTCCTATTCTCCACGCTGGATCCCTGGGTCTTCTTGTGATTCCATGTACCTGTCTGAAAACTAAGGGCGAACCTTAGCTACAAAACCTTTCCCTCAACACTGTGGCATCCTCCTCTGTTCAAACTGACATTTGGGTCAACTCTTGTGTTTTTTTTTTTACTTGCTTTGTTCTTATGTATTCATTTTTCAAATGTATGTACACCTTTTTCAAATGTAAACCCATTAATGAAGGCAACTGTTTCAACTCTGTTTGCCTTCTGGATTCATTCAATACAGTTACAAGTGTTTAATACAGAAAAATGGGACATGCTGTGGAGAGACTCACCACTTCTGACAACTCATTAGTCAAAAAATTACTATTAAGTCCTACTGCCTTTTGGTGCGACTGATGAAGACCATAGAAACGTTGGCTCACCGAATCTGCTTCTAACTAATCAGCATCAGACTGTAAGAAGAAATGGCCTACATGAATATTTGTTTGGTGTGATGTTGCCTTAAAGTGAGAACTGCATGTTGTTTTCTGATCTGCAATCACAAACAAAACTGACTGAGGTTGTGGGAAGATTGCAGTCATTATTAAAATAAACCAGCATGTCTGATTGGCGGACGCTGACCCATCCATCCACTTCAGCATCCTCCCTGAGAGCTTTTATTCTGCTTTGGTCTCCAGAAAGGTTTATTCTTCATCTTTAAATACAGATCAGTGTCCATATTTATATGCTGCTCACTTCCAACAAATAATATGTTTTGGGCAGAGCCATCAGACACAGAAAAAAAGCAAAATCATAATAATGGAAAGCTTTTCATGAACATCCCAGCTGTCACAAAATATTCGTACTCAACTTGTGTGACAAGCATTTTTTATGGTGTTCAGGGAGGAGATGGTGGGTTTTCTTAAATTCTAATTAGCCAACGCTGAGTTTTGCAAAAACACTCATTAGTGAGACAATCCATGCAGTAATGACTTTATCCTCCAAAGACTAAAAATCAAGCCAAACAAATGTGTGCAGGCAGGGATACACAAGAACTCTGAACATAGGTTGTATTATTGGAGAATTACATCATATAAATAAGCGTCCAAGTTATACTGTGTGTGTGTGTGTGTGTGTGTGTGTGTGTGTGTGTGTGTGTGTGTGTGTGTGTGTGTGTGTGTGTGAACAGATAGAGGGTTGGACAAACGATTCAGTGACTGAAGACATTTGTCACAGCAAACCTAAAACAAAACATTAATACAATAAAATGAAGTAAATAAAAATAAATGTCCAGATAACTTTGTGAGAACCTGGAAAGAAATTAGAGGTTAAGACAGGTTTAAACCTTCAAAAGTTTACCATACTATAATTTATTTATATAGCACTATCACACTAAAAACAACACATGGTCAACCAAAGTGCTGTACAGCAGAAATATAAAGAGAACACGAACTACAATAAATAACTAAATAAATAACAATAAAATAACAATGTCAGTTACCCAGTGAGTCAAAAGCCAGTGAATAAAAAATTAGTTTTCGACCTGGATTTAAAAACCACCGCTGACGTAGATTGCCTAACTTGAAGAGGAAGATCATTCCAAAGCTTCGGGACCACAATAGAGAAGTTTCAGCTGTGATTTAGGGAGTGAGAGCAACAGCTGCTCGGCTGCCTGGAGTGAACGAGGGGGGACATAGGACTGTACCACATCAGACAAATATACAGGCGCCATTTAAGGATTTAAAAAACAGTAAAAGGATTTTAAAAGCGATCCTAAATTAAATTGGAAGCAAGTGTAAGGAGATCCGAAGTAATATGCTCAAATGTTCTTTTACCAGTTAAAAACCGTGCCGCAGCATTTTGCACCAGTTGTAGGTGTGACCAAGTCCCCTGGCCAACCCCTATTAAAGGGGAGTTGCAGTGATCCAAGCGTGAGGTTATAAAAGCAAAAGGTTTAAACAAAAACTTGAATAATGCAGGTGACTTACTTGGGAAACTGCCATTCTTGTTTAACTGTCACCTGGTTCCTGATTATGAGTTTTTCTTTGCAAAGCAATTTCCATGTAAAATGTATAAAAGTTACAAATTTCAGGAAGAATAAATAAAATGCATGCCCGGGATGGACTCCAACACGCCCGTTCTAATACGTTTGCAGCAGTGCTCAGACATATGCCCCCAAAACCATTGAATGTTCTTAAAAGGGACGACCAACAAAGCATCGAGTATGTGTGGCTGTGGCCCTGCATACAGGCGGGAGCAGGCAGGAGTCACTTTAACAAAGAAAGACCTTTAGCCAAAATGAGCTTCTGCATTAGGGACGTCCCCGGGGGCCAGGAGTGTCCAAAAAGGTCACTGTGCCCCCTCAGCTGACTTCTACTGACACACTTTTACAGCTATAAGTAAAGGCTGTAATGGAAACAGTTAAACATTGAAAAGTTACTGGAGTAACAACATATCATAGTAGCTGAGTGTTTCTGCAGCAGTTACTGAGGAGGGCACTGCAGCTGATGGAGCTGTTGGGCCATCAAAGGCAGACTTTGGGAAGTTCCCTTCATTCGTAATGGAACCAAAAACAGGTCATTAAACCACTGCTGGCTTTAAATCTTTAAAGACCTCACTTGAAAATTGCAAAACATCTGGAAATGTGTGGAGGACACTCTGCACTCAGAGTCTGTGACAAAGACACACACCCCATCTTTGTTTCATACCAACATGTCTGTAATGATCTGAAACAAGAAAGTGAGACAAATATAGAAAAGACTAAGAAGTCATGAAGGGAAAGTCCTTTATAAAGGACCATGTCTGTGTTTTTAAATGCACCTTTAAGGTTTTTGTATTCGTGGCATCTTAGTTTATAATCTGTGTTTATGGACGTTGTGGATGTGTGCAAGTGTAACTGTGCACATAAGAGACAGCGTGAATGTCCCCTCCTGCTTTTGTTGAGCCATTTGCCCCCCTGTCAAAGTTTGTATCCCCTCCACATGCTCTCATTGTGACCCTGGCCAAACTATAAGAATCAGACAGTTCAACATGCAGACAGATCCTTTTCTTTTCCAAGTCACCTCCACAGCTCATGTTTCCTCTAATGAATCACAGAGAGGTCTGATCATGTGAGATCCATTTGAAGATGTAGTTTGGAAATCTTTCAGCTCTGTTTACTGAAAACTGTTTTGTGTTCAGTCCCTCCAGCTTGTGATGTCTCATCGCTTTAAATTCTTTTCTTCCAGATGGAGACGAGGAAGCGTCTGGCTAAGATCGTGCTGGTTTTTGTGGGCCTGTTCGCCCTGTGCTGGTTCCCAAACCATGTCCTCTACATGTACCGCTCCTTCCACTACCACCAGATGGATCTGTCGCTGGCCCACCTCGTCATCACTCTTCTAGCCCGGGTCCTCAGCTTCTCCTCGTCCTGCGTCAACCCGTTCGCGCTCTACCTGCTCAGTGAGAGTTTCCGCAGACACTTCAACAGGTCAGAGTTATTGAGGTGCTTTTACCTGAGACGGTTATGTTACCTAACCAGATCCCTGGACTGCCCCAGAGAATAGAGACAGATGACACTGTTCTCAAAACATCTCACAAACAATAAGGTGGGCAAGTTCCCCCTTTAATATTTCCAAAGTGTGCACACTGGTGTGCTCCTGCAGAGTGTTATTCATAACTGCACTGCAGCATTTGGATTAGTAAAATGTTCAGCATCACTTATTTGGATACACACAAAACTCCCAGAAAAGAAAAATAATAAAGAATAATAATAAAAATAAACATATGGAAAAAGCTACATTTGAATACATTTCCCTTGAATTAATTTTTTCAGTGTCTATAAAAGACTAACATCTCACTCTGCTCTCAGCTGCAGGTTCAGCTGCTCCCACTGAAGATGTCCGTCAGTCATTCAGAAATATGTCAGTAATTTTCCCAAACAGCCTGTCAGTGCTCTACATTTATTTAAAATTCACTGGTGCCATGATTGGGTGTTATTCAGAGTTATAGTTGCAAATATCAGCTTCAAAAATCAAAATCATCAAGCAGAGGCAGATGCTTGATGTCAGCCAGCGAATGCAGGAGCTTCAGAGCTCGTCTCGGCTGTTCTGTGATATAAAACACGCTTAATTACGTGGTCATGTTTATTTTACGTCGACTACTGAAGAAGAAATTAGATTGAACGTGTGAATGCTGCTGTTTGTCTTCACTATAGGTAGAAATGTTCACGGCATGCTGATTTACTGGACGCTGCTACAGCTAACTCTATTACTGCTCACATTAACTGCTGTCACCATAAAAAGGTGGAAAACAAGCAGAGGCTGAATGCTCCAGTGAGTCTTTACTACTTTACTGATTGCATCAATAAAATGTGAATGTAGCTGATTTACAGACGGTGGAAGGATACGGATGGAAATGTATTTGCATGCCGAGGCCGCGCTTCGTCTGCGCTGCACGCCATTGGCAGCGTGTTTGTGTTGTTTTGTGCTCCGTGTGTTTACACCGCATGAAGCTGCAGTCACAGACTAATCAAAACTTTCTAGAGGGCGAACATTTATACAAGACTGAGCATTCAGATAAAAACCACACAGCGAGTATTTCATTCTTCAGTCTGAATGGATTCTTATAACTTGCTGAAAAATAATCACAGCCTCGCCATTTTCTAAAACTCCTCCTGAGTACCCAATAAACCTCCTGAAACTCACCATGTTTCTGCCTACGCACGATGGAAACCCAAATTTAAACTCTTCACCGTAACCATGGCACAGCCTTCCCAAAAAGCGGGAAACCGTGACCCGGGGACGGGCTTTTCTCTCATTCAGCTCAGATTTGCAGCAGGTCGTGACACCTCAGAAGCAGCAGAGACGCCGCAGGAAAAGTAAAATGTGCCTTTGGGATGCAATTATAGCTATTTGCCTGTTTTGAAGAATGTAACAGGTGAACAATTTAATTTGTCCATGTGTGATGATTTACTTCAAGTACAGAAATGTTTCTTCGCCTTTTGTACCCAGAGAGCCAATTAACATGTGTGCCTGTTTCTGAGGATTATGACTTTTGGAAGAAAAATATCTCCAGCACATGCATGCATGCCAGTTCTTTTTCGTTTTTAATAGTTCTTTGGAAAGAGGCATTCATCTGTGGCTGACGTGATGCAGATTTTCCACATAGGCTGTAATCAATGATTAATTATTGGCTAAAAAAATCAGCATAGAACTAAATTCTTCATCAGCTACTGTTGAATGAGAATCTCTACAAAAGAGAAGTAGAGGAAGTAAAACTGAAGACAACCAAACTGCAGAGCTACGACTTAAAGCAGGAACAGCCGACAGCAGTCCTGTGGTCCTTGGGTTTGATGTATTTAAGGAGATTTGAATTCTTAGTTTCCTGTGTGAGTTCTGTGAAGGTTCTTCTGTTACAGAAATGTCAGAGTGCATTCCTGTTTTGATTACTCCTTATTATTATCCTAGAGCTTCTAGTTTTTGTGTTTTGCTTTATTTCTACTCGAGTGAAGAGTTTCTGTGTTTTCTGGTTTCTGCCTGGAGTTTATTGAGTTTAACTGCATTTCTTTTATGTTGGTGGTTATCTTTTGGGTTGTTTCATCTCTGTCTTTGAATTGTTTTCTTTTGCTCCCCCATCAACCCTCTGTGCATACATAGTCCAGTCTTTACTCCCATGCTGAGTTTTTTGTTGTTGTTGTTGTTCTTTTGTACGTCTGACTCTAGATGCAGATCTACATTTGTGCTAAAGTCTGAAAGAAGAACTTAAACACAGTGAATGTTCTCACATGCTGCAGACATGTGCGCACGGTTCCAGATATTTAGGCTGACGGCAGTGACACAACGACGACCAGCAATGAGTCAGGGAAAGGCAGAAGAGAGCTAGCAATCCTCTCCTCCACAGCAGGTTTAAATGTAAAAAATTTGTTGAAACATGGAAAAAGATAGATGTGCAACCATTGCTGTGAGTTCTTTTGCCAAGACAGTTACTGAGTAAAACTCTGTAGTCCCAGTGCTACAATCATCTTCTCTATCACAGAGCTATTAAGACCTTTCAGAGATAATAAAGCAAAAGCACAAAACTCTTTGTAGTGGAACAAAGAAGTGATAAGTTTGAAATGTCAGCTTATGAAAACAGAATTCAGTGACATGAGTCTAATAAATGGAAACCAGACCTGATTTCTTTTTGCCCTTTCAGCTACGAAACTGCGATCCTGTAAAACTTTAGCACGCTAATCTCACATGCTTTCAGCTTCAGCAGACACACTGCATGTTCCCCACAAACCTCTCCTCATCTGTGAAATGGTAAAAGGGCTGGTGTTTATATCGGGATACAGAGGCTTACTGACCACTCAGAGGTTTACGCCTCAACCCACATTCATGCAAACTCCTAACGATAAAAATATCTGGTAAACAGGAATCCCGCCACTAACATCTGCACTGAGTTTTGCTTTCTTCTTCCTCCTTAGTCAGCTGCGATGTGGTCGAGGTCCTCGCCCTGAGCGCCAAGCCAGCTATCTGCATAGCACCTCCCACATCCGCCTCACCTCCATCAAGAAGAACACGCCCACTGCTGCCCTCGCTCCGGCAGCCAATGGAAACCCCAACAGACAGGAAGTGGCTCTGTGAAGCAGGACGCTAAGAGTCTGACATTTTCAGCTTCACCTCCTCCCGAGTGTGAAATGTTGGACTATCGTAGGAGAGGTTTTCTGTTGCGGAGCAGCGATGGATGGTGGAGGGAAGGACATGAGTCTTGTACAAGTTGAATGGCTGCAACGGTCGCTCCTTTCCCATCAGAGTTATCGTCTACATCCTTACCTTGGCAACCAAACAGAAAGTGCCTCTTAGAAATACAAGACGGACAGTATAAAAACTAAGAACACTTTTTTCCAGGATGATTCTCCAGATTTATTAATTCATTCACTGCCAATGGCTGGCAGTGAATGAGTTAACAGTAACTGCATAAAAAATAAAGATGGATGGAATCAAATTTGTGAGAAAAGCCTCACAGACTTCAAAGCCGACAGCATGGCTGCAACGTTAGCATATCTGCAGCTATTGCTCGTTTTCTCTGTGCTTTGCTGCCGGGAGGCTCACCGTCAATGGACTCATCTAAAAAGCCATTTTTGTGTGTTGATTTCACTGAGTGGGCTCGTTTGTCTGCTGCACTCAGATAAAGGTTTCAGAACTCTCAGAGGAAAAATGTTCACATGTTATCCAAGGATGTCTCGGAGAATGCTCGGAGGCTACTCAGTGATGGGGTGTGGCCTGTCTTTATCCGAACTCTTCCTAAAACCACTTTGGAGATGAACGCACTTGAACCTGAATCTGTTTGGTAGCTCTTTGTTTTGTGGCTCTGTTGCTTGCTGTATCCACCAGGTTTTAACAGCTAACAGTCTTAAAACATTTTTTGTGAAAAATGCTTCTCTGGTGCCAGCTTTAGTTTTTCTGGATGTCACATTACTGGAAGCAGCCTTAAACTCTTTAACTTGCTGTGTGTGTTGAACTCATAAGGACCTCTGATGAGGACAGGGTCTGGCAGGGCTGCTCTCGTTAGCCCTCTGGTCCTTGAACAATAATACAGGCGGTTTGAGTTGGAGGCCAGCGGGCATTTGTCCTCACCAAGGTCCTGCTTGTGTTTTCATGGAGCAAATCTGAAAGTGCTGCTGGGTGTTAGGAAAGCACCCAGTGTGGCCTATTTCTGCAGGCGGTAGCATTGCCAACCTGAGAAGCTCGAGCACAGAGTGTGATCCATAATCCTCTGCTGGAAAGCTGCGGGTCACTTTCTCTTGCTTCAAATTGAGTTGCTGGCCAAACAATCTTGGGTCTGATTGAAACTGACTGACAGGCACATAGCTTAAGCTGCAGCTCTTGATTTACTCATGAGAAGAAAATGATCTTGCGATGTGAGATCGCTGATTTACTTTAATGTATATTTGTACAGGAGAAATTCCCCTCACAGCCAACAAACAGCAGCTCTTGCTTTTCATTTTAAAATGAATGCTGCTGTTGCCATAGTTTTGGTGTTAAAAGGGGAACCTGAACCCGTCTGCTCACATCAGCAGAGTCTCTGTTTTACTCAGATTCCCTGATGTTTCTGTTTTTGAACTGCAGACTTTAATGTTGCTGTTGTTTGGCTGCCAATAAACTGCAGAGTCTTTTGAAAGGCAGCAAACTGTTCCTCCTGCTTTTCATGTCATCCGTCTCATTATCCTTCGAGCTTTAAGAGACTTTTGCTCTCCTGATAGGTTTGAAATGTCTTTTTCTGTGAGTGGTTTTACTTGCCGAGTGTAGTGGCACGATTCCAGGCTTTCATTTATATCGGCCTCCACAGCTCTGAGAGAAGCAGAAGAAAAAACTGATTTTTACTGAACTACCGACCCGACACACTTCAGCCCAATACTGGACTTTATTATTGGCTCAAATGTGATGCATACTTTGCAGTGCAATCTTAGATTGCAGATTTAAAGTGGATTATGATCACAGGTGACCTCCAGAGGTATTACAAATTTCACTGACATCAATATTTGGAGCTTTGGCTCACGAGAGTATTTGACAATGGAACCGGAGATGTAAGTGAAAAAAGGGAAAAGCAGATTGATTCCAATTTAAGAAGCTGTTAAAGCAACATAGAAACAAGAGGGCTTTAAATGTAGATTCAGGGTGTTCTGGAACATTAATAAGAGCTAAATTATAGGAAGTGCTTTGCTTCCAAACAAATATTATTTGGTGAATTAATTGTTAGCCTGCTTGTAGATAAATGCAAAGCATTGCCCTGCTGTGCACTTCATGAAGACTCCTCGGGTTATGAAGTAAGAGCGACTAGTTTGAACTCCCTTTTCCTTCCATAATTACTAACTAATTGCATCACAAATTTTTATGGACCTGTGAAATAAAGAATTACACAGGCTTATGCTCTTGAGGACAGAGCTGTGACACTCATGCTCATTTTTGATCTCCTCAATGAATCCTGTTACCGACTGTTAACAATCAGGAGCAGCTCCTCACCCATCCATGGAACAAGATTACCATCATCACCCGACAATATCTTGCTCACCTGTAATTGAAGTCACCGCAGAATCAGATTTTGATAATAAGCCTTTCCTGGTGAATGCAAAACCTAACAGAGCTTTGTGCTTCTGCCTTAGCGTCAACAGCTGATGGAGTATCTGTGCCATATTTTCAAAGAGATGCTGTGACGTCCTGTTGACCGTGTTTTGGTGTCAGTTTTCTTCTCTTTTAAACTGAGTGTGTTTTCTTTGATGTTGTGCATGCTTCACCTTCCTGTGTTGGAAAGTCCTGTTCGAATGTCAGTCACAGAATAAATGCTTCTGCACAGGCACACACTCACACACCAATGCCCACCAATGCAGCATCATTGCCATATTTTAGTAGAAATAAATGTTTTTTAAAGGCTTATTTAAAGTGGAGAGAGGACAGGTTACAGGGCAGCCTGGCTGCTGGTCGTCACCTCAGGCTCGTAGCTTTTAAATTAGACAATCAAATGTAAGAAGCTGAAATTACAGCGTGCAGGCAGCTGTCAACGGGCTATAAGGTTCACATCTGTTGAACCTTATAGTTTGACCATGGCTCAGTTTCACAGAATAACCTTCATCAGAACTTTTATGGATTCAATCAGGCCAGTGATAAACCAGGCATGGCTCGAAACCCTTAACTAGTGAAAATATAGTAGTCTGTGTGTGTGTGTGTGTGTGTGTGTTTTACGTCACCATTAAAGGGCAACAGTGCAGATGGATACACACTTCAGTTGCATCTGCTTGAGTCTTTTGTCGGTTTAGTGGAATGAGCAGCATCTCTGAGCCGCTATCATGTTCATCCTGTCACTCTGTACGCTGTCATTGCCGCCAGGGGTAAAAATGACCGTTTTGTCTTTTAAGGAGGCTGGTGTGATGACAGTCATGCCAAAACATCTGGGCATGGAAGAAAGAGGAACATTTTAGTTTTTAGTGTAGCTCAAAACTTTTTAAAGAATTTCAATCTACAAAGAATTAGAAGAACGCTCACAGAAGGCTACATACAGCAAGGCTTCTGTCTGTTTCTTAAAGTTTAAAAAAAGTGACTCATATCCATGTTAAAAATTAAGTTCCACTTTTTCTCTGAGCTTTGGAAAGCTTGTTTTTTCCCCCTGAAATCTAGCTGCAGATTGTCAGATCTGAGAACTAAAGGTTGATGATTGGCGTTCTTGCCTGAAAAGGGACTCGGATAGTCAAACCGCTTGTTGCAGCTCTAATTCCACGTCTCGGCTCATTAAACCAAATATTAATTGTCCAATCAGTTTATGTTCCAGTGCCAAGATCTCTCCACAATATGTGTTTTTTCTCAGATATAAAGAACCACTGAAAGGAATCGAGCAGTTAATCCGGGGTTCATGTATCACGCCTGCTTTGTTGAATTGCTGACTGTGAGGAAAGCTGTCAGCCTGTTCTGTGCTTGCAAACTGCAGAGCACCTCAAACTTGACCTGAAAGGAGCATTTGAAGGAGTGTTTCCCAGCTAGCTGCCCACCCTGGGTTTCTGTTCAGAAACATGTAATCTGTTGGACGAGCTTGTATATTTCTAACTTTATAAAAGGATCAGCTACACTCTGTCAGAGTTTCCACAAACTGAAACCAGAATTTGAGACTGATTGAATGTTATTAAAATGGACCAGGCCTTAACAACTATTTAATCTGATTATTTAAGCATTATTTAAGCACTGTGTGATAACAGCAGCTCCCCCACCACATCCAATCATAGCAATCTATCAAACTGTGTCCATGACAAAAGTAATGAGAAAGAGCTGTTCCGGTCCTGAAATCTGAAATCCTTCCTTCTCTGTTTCACCTTTTTGACTTTGCTCTGTTTGTCTCTGCAAGACTTCACTTTCTCTAATCATTCTTCTGTTTATAGGACGTCTGTCTGTCTCTTTAAAACTATCCAGTTTCTGACAGGAGACTACAGAAAAGGAAAGCAGTGGCTGTTTCGAGGTTCTTAGGTCATGATTTCTAGTGTCATCTTGAGACATTTTGTTTATCTCTACCAAATACCCAAAGCTCTTTGAAAAAAACAAAGAAAAAAGTATGCTATCTGCTCAGACATTAACTATGAATACCCGCACCAACCGACACCACCTGTGTGTGTGGATGCGTCTAAACATCAACTGTGTGGGGTTGCAGGGAAAGTAGGACCCAAATGCAGGACTCTGTAATGAACACAGTGCAGTTATTTACAGTGAGGTAAATATTAACGCAATGATAGATCCCTGTGTGTCCCCGACTTCTATGCCGTGTCTTTTCCCAGTGTCCATGCTCCGTGTTTCCCTCTCGTTGGGAAATCACAGACGCAGCCATTAGTACATTCACAACAGCAGCAAACTCACACTTACTGACTGTCTTGCTTAGAAACTAACGGGAATTCTTGCAACGATCTGGCATCGACGCAAGGTCAGCCACTCTCCCAAGTAACTCCCACAGACGAGGCTGATCCGGTGCATGTCCCGGTGGGACACACTCTCTAGACCTGTTTCCCAGGAAAACCAGGACATCGCCACACACACACACACGTACACACACACATGCACCCCCCCCCAGTAAAAGGGATAACGAGGGACAACAGTGCAATACATAACCAAGGCAGGTCACCCTGCGAGGACTGCCAGCCCAATACAAGCCATCAAATATGCACAAGTCCATAAGCACTCTGTCTGGGTCTGGGGACCCAGGGTTCATGACAGTTTGCTGCTGGAAATAAAAATTCCAGGCAGATCGATTTACTCCTTTTGTCGGAGACATTTAGGATCTGTGAGAACATTTAGAACTTCTGTTAGTTGAGTGTGATTAATAAATATTTTGCATCCATGATGTGAAACAGCGTTAATTCCATATGGGTTCTGTGTAAGGTATTTCAACCCTCCTGCATATTTGTCACATTTACATGCTTCAAATCATCAAATAAATTCATATAGATAACCTGAGTAAATATAAAGTCATCCAAGCCTACCTGCCCTGTATAAAAAAGTAACTGGTAACGGGTATTTCACATCACTGTGGAGGAATTTTGGACCACTCTCTCTGTGGTGTAAGTCCAGACTTTGACTTGGCCACCCCAAAACCTTTGTTTATTTTGAGCCAATCAGAGGTGGATTATCTACTGTGTTTTTCGATCATTATCCTGCTGCATAACCTGACTGCTTGAGGAAATTCTCCTTCAGTATTTTCTGGTATGGAGCAGAATTCATGGTTCCATCAGTCACATCAAGTCATCCTGAAGCATCAGAGAAGCCATCACACTACCACCACAGTGTCTGACTCCTGCTGTGATGTTTTCTGTATGAAATGCTGTTAGTTTGATGTAGATGTAATGGGACTCAAACCTTCCAGAAATTTCAGCTTTTGTCTCGTCAGTCTACAGAATAAAAATTCCAGAAGTCTTGGGGATCATCCAGATGTTTGGTGGCAAATGTCTTTGTGATCTTTTTGGTCAGCAGTGGTTTTTCTCCCACGGAGACCATTTTTGCCCCGTCTCTTTCTTACTGTTGAATCTGACCTTAATTGAGTCTGCAGGTCTTTAGATGTTGTTCTGGATCTTCTGCGACCTCCTGGATGAGTTGTCCATGCGTTCTTGGAGTAATTTTGGTAGGCTGGTCTAAGGAGCCTGGAAAGATACCTCTTTAAGTCTTGGAACTCTTAAAGTTTCTTGAGGACGTTTCATCTCTCATCCGAGAAGCTGCTTCAGTTCTGAAGAAGGGGCCAGATGTAATTTTGGCACTCTGGTCACTCCTAGGAAGGTTCAGCACTGTTCTCTGAATTCACCATTTGTGGATAAAGTCTTTGTACACCTTTCCAGACTGATAGATGCTATTGACTTTGTTTATCAGATGTCTCTTTAGATCGTAACATGATGTGGTGCTTTCTGAGATCTTCTAGCCGGCTTCACTTTGTCAGACAGGTTCTGTTTTAGTTGATTTCTTGATTCAGCGGGTCTGACAGTGTCAGGGTTGCTGGGTCGTTGACCCAGTATTTTCAGTTCACGTTCACTGTTTATCTACTGCCTGTTCCACTTCCTGTTTTATTGTGTTAGCCTTGGTCTGTGTGCATTATGTTCAGTCCTCTTCCCATTTATCATTAGTTCATTAGGTTCAGCTGTTCACTCACCTGTCTCCAATCGTTGTCATTGTTAGTCATGTATTTAAGTCCTCTCTTCCCTTTAGCCCTTGTCGTGTCATTGATGTTATATTGTCGTTCCCGTTAGTGCTCAGTTATTCAGCCAGCCACTCAGTCTTTCAGTCAGCTAGTCAGTTCTGCCGTTCCTTCTTTGTTCATTCACCTGCTCCAATAAATCCTCATCATTTCTGCACCGTGAGTCCTGCGTTTGGGTCATCTCTTCCACGCCTCCACACACAACCCCTGACAGAATGACACGACCCGTGCCAAGAAGACACGCTTTTGACCCAGCGGACTCGGACCTTTTTGAGCGGCAGGAGGCAGCGCTCTCCTCCTAAGGAGAGACAGCGGCTCTTCGCGGAGCGAGAGCACGTCTTCGAGGGTACTCGCTTGGCTCTGGGCGGGCCTCGGAGACGCCGCGTTCACCCACCTGCTACCTCCCATGCACCGGAGCATCTGCCACGGAGAGTAGGCGTTTTGCGCTGCGCTTCGGCGGCTCCCTCTCTCGCGGGTCCGCTCCTCGCTCACACGCGACCTGCCTCATTCACCGGACCTTCAACCTCGCCATGGCACAGCGGCTCCGCTTCCCACCTCGGCTCAACAGAGGCTCCCGCGCCAGAGGCTCGGCTGTGTACCCCGCCCGCTTCCTCTTCCCGGAAAAAGTGGCGCACACGCCACCATAACATGGACTATTTTCAGCAACTCCCGGTGGTGAGTTCCAGTGACTGTTTTCCACCCTCCTCATTTGATTCTTCACCTAAAATAACAAATAGACTCATCTCTGATTCATGGGGAGTTTCCCTCCTAGATGAGGATGTGGACTGGGAAGAGTTTTTCTGCTCTGCTCCCCCAAAGACTGTTCAGTTAAAGACTGTAAATAGTGGTGGCAGAAAAACCAGAACAATCCCCGATAAACCTGCCAGTATCACACACCCAGTCACTATTTCCACACACATTACTCAGCCGTTTCCCACCAGCACGACGGCCCAGATTCGGCCTTCCCCTTCAGCCGTTTCACCTCCTCAGATGGCTAGGGCCCAGTCTACACCCACATCAGTGCCAGCTCCCAGGAGGAGGGCAGCTGCGACCCAGTCTTCCTCCACACCCGCTTCTGTTTCTCGGGTGGGGGTGACTGGTGTCCAGCCACCTCCCGTGCCTGTCCCAGTGCCCAGGCTGAGGGCAGCCAGAACCCAGCCTGACCTCCCTAGAGGCTTGGAAGAGCTAACTGGTTCACCTGCTACTTCACCACTTCATCCACCTCCTGACCCAGCCTTTCACGCCCTCGCACTATCCCTAGTTAGATTAGCTGACCTGTCCCCTGCTCAGGCACCAGCTTTACTAGCCCAAGCTGTAGCTTTATCTCCGTCACTAGCTCAGTCTGTAGCTCAGCCATTAGCCACACCAACCTCAACTTCGTCGTCAGCCTCGCCTACCTCTGTTCATCCCTTAGCATCTCCACTCCAGTCAGTTCCCTCATCTGCTGTTCAGCTTCCACTCCAGTCAGTTCACTCACCTGCTGTTCAGCCTCCACTCCAGTGCCCTGTAGTTCAGTCTCCTCCTGCCCTCCAGTCAGCTCAGTCTCCTTCAGCCCTCCAGTCAGTTCAGTCTCCTTCTGCCCTCCAGTCAGCTCAGTCTCCTCCTGCCCACCAGTCAGCTCAGTCTCCTTCTGCCCTCCAGTCAGTTCAGTCTCCTTCTGCCCTCCAGTCAGCTCAGTCTCCTCCTGTCCTCCAGTCAGTCCAGTCAGCTCCTGTCCAGTCAGTCCAGTCAGCTCCTGTCCAGTCTGTAGTCCAGTCAGTTCAGTCTGTCATCCAGTACCCTGTAGTCCAGTTGCCCGTTGCCCAATCTCTTGATCAGTCTCTGGTCCAGTCACTCATCCACCATCCTGTTCAGTTCCAGGACCTGCAGCCACAGCACCCAGAGCCAGCTGTGAGCTCTCCTGCTCCTCAGCCCACTGGCCCAGCCGCTCTTCAGCCAGGGGTTTCCGCGCCCGCTGGCCCGGCTGCTCTTCAGCCAGGGGCTTCTGCGCCCGCTGGCCCTGCCTGTCTCCAGCCAGGGGCTTCCATGCCTGCTGGCTCTACAGCTGTGGCTCCGTCACCCCCGGCTCCCGTGCCGTCGCCTCGTTCAGCCTCAGCTTCAGCCTCTGCTTTGCCTGGTCCAGCCTCAGCTTCAGCCTCTGCTTCGCCTGGTCCTGTGGCTGCTGCGCCGTCGCCCCAGCCACGTTCTGGACATCATCGCTGGTGTGGCCGCCCACCGGAAATGCTCAGTGGCCGCCGCCGTCTTCCTCGCGGCCGCCCGCTGGACCTGCTCAGTGGCCGCCACCGTCTTCCTCGCCAGTCTCCTGTCACTCTAGTCAGTCCAGTCAGCTTCTGTCCAGTCAGTCCAGTCAGCTCCTGTCCAGTCTGTAGTCCAGTCGCCTCCTGTCTCCCAGTCGCCCGTCCACCAGCCTGTCCAGTCTGTTGTCCAGTCTTCTGTAGTCCAGTCAGTTCAGTCTGTCATCCAGTACCCTGTAGTCCAGTTGCCCGTTGCCCAATCTCCTGATCAGTCTCTGGTCCAGTCACTCATCCACCATCCTGTTCACCTCCCGGACCTGCAGCCACAGCACCCAGAGCCAGCTGTGAGCTCTCCTGCTCCTCAGCCAGGGGTTTCCGCGCCCGCTGGCCCGGCCGCTCTTCAGCCAGGGGCTTCCGCGCCTGCTGGCTCTACAGCTGTGGCTCCGTCACCCCCGGCTCCTGTGCCGTCGCCTCGTCCAGCCTCAGCTTCAGCCTCAGCTTCAGCCTCTGCTTCGCCTGGTCCAGCCTCAGCTTCAGCCTCTGCTTCACCTGGTCCAGCTTCAGCTTCAGCCTCTGCTTCGCCTGGTCCTGTGGCTGCCGCGCCGTCGCCCCAGCCACGTTCTGGATATCATCGCCGGCGTGGCCGCCCACCGGACCTGCTCAGTGACCGCCGGCCACCGGCCACGTGGCGGAGGGGGGGGGGGTACTGTCAGGGTTGCTGGGTCGTTGACCCAGTATTTTCAGTTCACGTTCACTGTTCACTCACCTGTCTCCAATCGTTGTCATTGTTAGTCATGTATTTAAGTCCTCTCTTCCCTTCAGCCCTTGTCGTGTCATTGATGTTATATGTGTCGTTCCCGTTAGTGCTCAGTTATTCAGCCAGCCACTCAGTCTTTCAGTCAGCTAGTCAGTTCTGCCGTTCCTGCTTTGTTCATTCACCCGTCCAATAAATCACTCATCATTTCTGCACTGTGAGTTCTGCGTTTGGGTCATCTCTTCCATGCCTCCACACACAACCCCTGACAGACAGAAATCAGGCCTGGGTGTGGTTGGTGAAACTGAACTGCAGGATATATCATTGTGACACACGTCAGGCACAGATACACGCACACACACGTCTTTAGCCTCAGATGCACGTTTATTGTGAAATGCATACAATGACAGCTGAACACCGTTTGACAGCGGTCGGTTTCCCCAGCTCCTCCTCCTTCGCTCCTCTCCACCTCACTATATAAAGGGAAGGAAAAACCACCATCAGTCCCAAAATCACGATCAGCTGTTCTTACCAGCACCGCCCCGTTGAGCTCACTGCCCCACTCCTCCCCTGCAGCCGCGCCCCGGACCACACCTCCGCCACACACCCCCACCGCCCGACTGAGGCCGGGAAGCCCACCGGCCGAACCTACTCCCCCCCCCGCGAGCGGGAGAGAAAATCGGCCACCGCCATCTGCGCCCCCGGCCTATGGACCACCTTGAACTTAAAAGGCTGCAAAGCCAGATACCACCGAGTGATCCGGGCGTTGGCATCCTTCATGCGGTGAAGCCACTGCAGCGGGGCGTGGTCCGAGCAGAGGGTGAATGAGCGCCCCAGGAGGTAATAGCGAAGGGAGTCGACCGCCCACCGGATAGCCAAGCACTCCTTCTCCACGGTGCTGTACCGCCTTTCGCGCTCCGCCAGCTTCCGGCTGATGTAAAGAACGGGACGGTCGGCCCCCCTCACCTGCTGGGACAAAACGGCCCCCAGCCCTCTGTTCGAGGCCATTTTACATTTGCTTGAGAAGATTTTGACTTATATAGTTTTTCTTTTTTTAGTGTAACATTTTCTCTACCAGTCCTAGTTATTACAGCAATGTCATTTTTGCATTTATGACTATTTTAAGGCTTTATTAATTCACAGGAGAGCAGATGTATGATATTCTGAGATCAAACTGGACACGTTGTGATTAAAAAAATATTTTTTTGTGTGTTTTCTGGGGTTTAGTTATGCTAAATATAGTAAATAGCGATTCCCGCCCAAATGTCAATCTTACATAAAAGTGCCTCCATCATCTCCATCAAACCGATGGTTTCTGCTTGCAACACATACTGTAGACAAACAAAAGGCTGTCAAATCTGTTGTTGATTAGATGAATCAAGGTGCCACAAGTGAGTCAGTGACATAATTAGCTCCAAACATCTGTCCAGGCTCAGACAGGACGTGACAGGACAGTGGGGAGCGAGCTGACAGTCATTTATGGCAGCATTAATCAGTGCCAGCTGAATCCAGACAGCATGTTAGTCAGTGAAACCCGCTAAGAGTTACTAAGTGAACTCTGGATCGGGCATCTGGCTGTTTCCCCAACCAGCCGACTAGTGCCCCGAGATGAGCGCACCGGGGCCTGACGCTCTATATTTCCCGAGTGAGTAAAATTGGCAGGCAGTTATATCAGGGTGCCATGGCTGTGAATCAACGAGACCGTAGCCAATGTAACCGCCCAGTGAAAGCGCAGCCCAAATAAAAACGAACCTGTATCTGAAGTTAAACTACCCTGCGCCCAAATCCCGGAGTTACTAAGTGAACTCTGGATCGGGCATCTGGCTGTTTCCCCAAGTGTTTACCACCGGTTTCCATAGTGACCTGCTCTGAATGTCTGGCTGCTGGCCTGGTAGAACTGTTGTGGTTATGTAAGGAAATGCTGTTTTGGTTTGTCTGCGCTTTTCCTAGTTCCCTAAGAAGTGTCGTTCACCTACCCAACCACCCGCGACTTCGGTTCGATTGTAGCGATACACGGTATCTAATCGATGACTCCCGGCGTGTCCCATGAGCAGCCCCCCACGCATGTCCGAGACGTGGCAAAGATGACCAGACAGGGTGAAGGTCAGCGACCACCACGCCGTGCCTATCCCGTGGTGACCCACATCAATGCGTGCACCACTTCCCCTCCGCTCTTGATCTGCAGGCTTTGCACCCCCTCTCGGCCGCTGTCATTTTTCCGTTCGCGACGAATGCTCTTCTCCTTGCGTTTCCCCCTCCTTTTTTTTCCAACTTTCGAACTCCCAGCGTGAAATTTTCTCCACGTCTTTCTTTTCTTTCCATTTTTTTTAAACTTCATCACTCTTTCTCTTGTCAGCGCTTTACCTCAAAACTCTGTTTACAGCTCTCTCCTGGCATACAATAACACATCAGTGCTTTTTGATCACATTGGAGTGTTTAAGGGCTCTCAGAGTCTCCTCAGTAACATTTGTTTCTAGTGGTTGGCAGCTTTGATTTGCCAACTTGCCAATGTTTTGACACATCTGCCTCTGAGACTTCTCCGCCATCCCAAAACAATGAGGCTCAGTGGAATTTAGGTTGTGCTACTCCCCATGTCAAAAAAGTTCAACAGCAACATCTTTGCCTAGAGAACTTAATATTCTGGACAATAAGCAGAACACCCTGTCAACAGTTTCGTAAGGGACTATTTCCTCCGTAGAAAGTAGTTCAGCATTACTATATGTGTATCTCCTAAGCCAGCCCCCTTGGTGGTAATATCCCTAGAGAGATGAATCGGGAAAAGCGGGGGCGCGTGCCCAGCCCCGATGGCCCAGGAGGCTCGTCCGGAGAGCCCCGTGATGGTCCAATTGTCGCCCTCCGATAAGTCCATCCCAAAGAATAAGTTTCCAGTAAAAATCTGTAAAATGTATGCTTGACAAACCCTCATTCACCTTGCGATTAAGTCCGACACAGAAAACCCCTGTATTAGGAAACCCATATCCCTATACCCAGTATCTGAAGCATCTTACCAAAAAATCGCGTATGTGGCTGTGCTCTATCACCGAGAGCCGAATGTGCGATCTCCTATCCTTAACTTCACTCCCTCTCGACTCCATTCGTTCTAATGAGCCAAAGACCCAACTATTGCTCCCCACATCTCCTGCCACCCGATTTGGCGCTGCTCAGACATAGAGTGCCCCCTAAAGCCGTGCGCGAGGAATAAAGAACCCTCTACTTAGCTAGTGCTCCTTTCCTTTTGAAAAAATATCTTGAAGTTAATAGTAGAAAATCAAACAGGGAGTGTAGTAATCCGCCAGCCGTACAACGGCCCAAACCGGCTCCCCACCTGCGTCCCAAGAAATGATGCCTCCAAGGAGAGACGGGTGTAGCCAGGATCAGCTGACCCTCTGCCCCGGTGCGTAGGCCCTACAAGTGGCATTCAAGAAACATGTCCCCATGGCCAAGACTAACGTACTCTCTTGTGAATAACGCTGAGGGGCATACTTACTGATGCTCGCCTCTTGTGGTCGCATGCATGCTGAAACAAGCACGTTGCAACATGGTCATTCAAAAAGCGCGCGCACCTATGCGAGTTCGCCCTAGCCCGGGAGTGGCATGCCATGAGGAATATATTTGGTCTATCCTACCTAACCTCTTTATCCCCTGCCTTCCGAGTACCTACAAATCTTATCCTCTCGGTCCTCTTATACCCTCTGTGAAACCCCTCCAAAAGTTAAGAAAAGGACCCGCAGGAGGTTCAAACCCTCCTCTCCCACCGCTTTTAAGGATGTACCCAGAACCAGAGCCATTCTCTGGTTTGTATGTCATTTTTGTTTGTAGATTGGAGACAGGTCGATTAATCCCGCGCGGTAACCACACCACTTACCCCCATGTACGCAGAAAATGACCATTTCCACATTTTCCGTCTGTCACTCCAGCTCACCCTCCAATAAGTCCTAAACGAGGCCCCCCACGCAAAAATGTTCCCGTCGTCAAGCTGACGCCAACCCCACATCAGTGACGTCTGACCACCTCTTGGTTCCTTATGGAACCTCTTGGCTGATGCCAGACCTTGTTTTGACGCCCTTACTCAATAGAGGCGTATATCAACGGGGTCATCTAATCGACATCCTACAAGCCCAATCCTTCCCTAGTTTTCCGAGCGCTCAAATTCCCCTGAGGTATTCTCAGCCGCCCCTCCTGGTGTGCCCACAAAGTGCCCGTTTACCTCTGTCCGTTCTCTGTCCTGAATCGCCCCGAAGAACAGACATCAAAGGCAGTCTCTCCTGACATCTAATGCCCAGCGCCCCTCAAACTTACAACATAAGGCTCACTCTGGCCAAGACTCCTTCCCATCTGCACCACGAGGGGCATCTGGCTCACACATGAGACCATCGTAATAATGCGCTGAATCCAGAGTGGTATCTGTGTTGTCCATGTGTGCGAGGTCGAGCTACGTCCCACACATTCCAAACCACGCACCTGTCCAGCTCTTGTACATATATATGCAAGTGCAGTTCCCAGTGAAGGCACCCACCCACCATTGAGCACGTGCGCCTAAAATTCACTTTTGTGGATAAATTAATCAAAATGTCAAAACTCCAGATGGATGTGATCCTAGAAGCGCGCGTAGTG